GGCGAACCTATATAACTCATAAGAAAGTATGTGAACAAAAATGGACAAAGTATCAGGAGCTCATCTACATTCGATAATTTTTTCTTTGAACAATAATTTTATTAATAATAATGTTATAGTTATAATGTTCTATAAAATTATAAACTTATAATTTTTCATGGCATTAAATCAAAGATGATATGATATTAAATAAATGAATGTATATAATATCATGAATGAACCCTTAAATAAAAAAATTAATTATATAATGATACATCAAAATAAAACTTTATAATACTACATAATATTATAACTATAATATTTTCATTTCATTAATATAAATACAAGAGATACTCGACTCATGCAACCACCAAACATAATCTATTTTGTCTATGTATGCTTACAGTAGTGTTGTATCTTATGATTTATGTTGTACACTTTGTTACAATATGTACTTTACGATATATTTTTGAGACAATAAAAATATTAACTCTTTGTAGGGTTGCCAAATGGCAATTATTACCCCCAAAAATTAAATAAATCACATAACATCTACATTTACTGTACTCTAGAGAACACTATAATTCTCCCTTCAAACTTTTTAGATATTGAAATTGCTAATTTGAGTTAAAATTGGTCCTAAATACTAATTGTTTAGTGATTTGTGATAAATTTGATAGAGTTATTGATTTTTTCGAAGTTTTGATTTGTTGACTAATTTACATGTGCTTGATTTATAATTGCTAATTATACCCCCATTCAAAAAAAAAAAAAAAATCATTGAGGTTTTTTACTTTTTTCACTCGTTAAAATGTATAAGATTCATTCCCAAAAGTTTGGATGAAGTGTTAGTGTACTAAGATTAAATAAAGGTACCACAAATCTAAATAAATTAATTATTAGTAAAATGATAATGAGGGATAGAGAGAGTGAAAAATCAATCCAAGTTAATTATATATTCTTGGAGGAGTGGCGTGAATAGTATTTGTTATTTACAGCTTCGGAATTTACTTCTCCAATCCACTGTCATTAGCTGTCAATTTGTATTTCTACCATATCAACAAACTACTCCAATTCCTGACGATACTTGGAAAGAATCTAACTTCATGTGTTGTTGAGACCACACCCATATTTGAAGGTTAGTCTGTCAATTCCATTGTTCCCACCATAGACTACTATTCATACAGGCCACTAGCTCTGAGCAGTCACTTTCAGAAAAGCATTCTTCTCTGATACAAGATCATGAATCGATTTCAATCTGTTCTACCATGTGACTGTGAACGAACAACTCCAAAAATGTTGGACCTCTGGATATATTATTTTGTTGATCACGGGTAGCTCTGATATTTCTTTTGGCTCCCATCAACTGTTCCTACAGACATGGTTCTGATTTTACTTTACTCTTATGGACTTATCTCTAGTCTCTTCGCATTATATATCTGCTGATTCTTTAATCTTGCGTTTACTTTATTGGATTCTACTAATTACCAATACCATATCGGATAGTTTAGAAGCTTCTGCGTATTTCCTTATTTTGGTGCCTATCAACTGTTTGTCGAAATGCCCTACAAATATTCTAAGCCCAATCTGCCCACATAGGGTTGTTTAGCATAGATTAAAAAGTATTTGTTTAAAAGTAAATTTTTTTAATAAATTTAAAATTTTATTAAATAAAAATTCAAAAATTAATTTTGAAAGGTGACTTGCTTAAATTTACACTTGCTTAAATGCTTAAATATTATCTTAAAAATAATTTTTAAATTTTTTACTAACAAAATTTTAAATTTATAAAAAATCATCTTTTAAACAAATATTTTTTAAATTTTACCAAACACCTTCCTAATTCAACATTAGTTTTATTTAATCCTTGCGTTCCTGTATTTAATTACCCTCTCATTTAGCTTCAGTTCAAAAAAAATAATAATAATTACCCTCTCTCTCTCTCTCTCTCTCTTTTGTAAGGACGCCTCATCTATCTGTCAATTGTTGTCTTCCCAGTAGAACCATTCATACAGGCCAAAAACTATGAAGAGTCAACCTGGGAAGTGGTTCTCTACAGTGCAATTATGCAAAGGAGCAGTGCTAGGGACATTCGCCCCGCACACTCTCCCCCTTTAAGATGACAAGTGCTAGTGCTAGTATAATTATAACACTGAATTGGTGACCAGAGTTCCTTTAAATCCACTGGAAAATTTTTTTCTTCTATTCACTTTTTAATACTTTTTTTTTTTTAGGGGTTCTATCAACATTAAAAACAAATCATGTGTTGTAGAATTTTTTAAGGTATCTATAATAAAATTTTTCTTTATTTCTCTTTCATTTTTCTTTTCTAAAATAAAACAGTAAGTAAAAATTTAATTCATTGAAATTCTATTAGAGTTCTATATTAAAAAAGAGTCGTCTTTCTATAGAGAGACGATTCCCTATTTTCCAAAAAATTAATTTAAAGGCATGAAAATTCAAATTTTCAATTGTTTGCCTTGTTTTTCAACATCAAAACCAGCATCTTTCCATAATTCTTTTTTTTTTTTAATGGTATCTTTCCATAATCCTACCACTTTGAAATTGGGGGCGATGTCAATATAATATAGAAACACTGCTGAACAAACAAGCAAAATCTAAATCTCTTTTCCATAAATTTCGGGTGCCAGTAAGAGCAAAAAACTGTCTTTCCTCTTG